GAGGGAGTAAGGTCCTGCCTCAAACAGGTGTAAAATCTGTTTCCCATACAAGAGAAGAAGAGAGAGCCTGCGTGAGCATTGTTTATGAAGTGCTACATTAAGATTTTCTATTAGCAGAAGCAATCAGAAGAGATATTTCTCTTTTCATTTATTCAACTTTCTTTCATTTAAGAAGCATACTAATGCTTTTTACCATGAGTAGTATATCTTTTCCATCCTACTCTTATTATCCCAAATTTCTGCAATAATTCTCAATTTGTTCACTTCTTTCTTTAATGAAATGATAGAGGATGAATTCAGTGTATTGTGAACAATCCCTTTTAACAATGATAGGATTAAGAGACCTGGACCCAGGTGAGCCCTCCAATGAATGTAAGCAAAGATGTCAGAGCCCCTCCATACTTTCAGGGCCCTGGTTCTGAGACCTACGATCATTTGTACCAGACAGGACTGTAAGCCCATTTACTGGTCTCAAACATCATGACTGTGTGATATAGTAGAGAATTGGACCCAAAATCAGTGCCAGGATTTACCTTGGGTCTCAAATACTTACTAGAACATGATGCATAAAAAAAACTTAGAACCAGTTTTCTCATCTGTAAAATGGGAATCAAGATACCTACTTCTTCCTGATGTTTCCAATAACCTGTCCTGATGACATTCAAGGGTCATTTAAAGTGAGTGAGGCATAGATGTAATGTTCTCCAAGAAAAAAAAAATCAATCAAATATCCCTGTAAGGACACTAAATAACAACCAGATTATCCATGACTGGTAATAGGAGAATCTCCATGTAGCAATGGGTTCCTGGCCTGACATGTAAGTCTCAAACCATTTTCTATTTATATCAGTCTTCCTCTTAGGGACGGATATAGGGCCTTTCTAGTGAACGCAGGGGAAATCTGCCCATGATTTCATATACCAGACTCTGTTCTTTCTAGAACATTTAACTGAGGGTTTATTCATCTTAAGGAATTACAAAGTGAAGAACAAGGAGAAGGTCACAAAACCAGAAAACTTATGGGATATAGCTTGCTGCTTTTCAAATTTATATTGTCTATCCCACCCTGGTTTCTGTTATGCTTTTGTGTAGCAGGTACTATCTCAACACCCTTCCAGAATCTGTCCATATTCATCAGTCTTATTTTAGATCCCAAACCAAATTCTTGACAATATTCCTTGAGCTCTAGATCCAGGTATAGCTAAAGCATAGACTTGTCGGTTATGAGAGCTAATTATTCCCTTGCTTTGATTAAGCATGTTTATGTTTCTCTCAATTATAGACAAGTTGGTTTGAGCACCTATTTTATCCTTTATTTCCTACAGAGCTGGACACAGGCTATTATCTTTTGAATAAGCACCTCTATTATCAATCTTACCACTATTGGGAAATTAAAATACATATTGTTTCAATGCATATTTGTGGCAGAAATGAGAACTGACAACTTTTTTTCATTTGTTCTTCAACTCATTAAAAAACATTTCTAAAATAAGGGACAAAAGTAGGAGTAAGTAAGTTTTTCCCATTAATTTATTTATTAGACATTAATTCATTACAAAATTGACTCACATATAATTAGAAATATTTTAAATCACAAACAAATCAAAGTCATTTAAAATATTAAATGTTAAATTATATTTTACATTTATAGACTATATACTTATATACTATAAGAATTATAACTGGATGTCTGGTTTTGCTCATGTAACAAAAAAATCTAGATAAAATATGACAAATATGTTAAGAAATATACTTACATCATGCAACTTGTAAACCAATTTTATTTGGTTTCATGAAAAATAAAGAAAAAATGAGACATCTAATATTTACGCACATGAATCTTCTGGTAAACTGAAACAAATGTAAATTTGTGTATCCTGACTTTATAGACAAGAAGTAAACTTGTAAAAAATTATCACTGGATGTCTAAACTCTATAGGTTCCTTTGATTCTGTGATATAGGTTGGTTGTTGAATTAATTTGTCACATTGAAAAAAATCTTTTTTTGAAATAGATAAAATGGAGCAATTTTTTCCCATTGATTCACAGTTTTTTTTTTCATCCAGTTTTTCAGAATTATGGTTTAGCATCACCACGGTTTTAAATTAATCCCATTCATTGTCACCTGCATGACTGAGGCTTTCAAGTGCCTTTATGCTCCAGATATTAGCAAGATACAAATAGGCTTTATTTTCAGGTGATCAGAGAACATTGGAAATGTCATCAAATTTTAAAAATTGATGCCAGGTACTAGTTTTAATGGGAGGTTAGGTTGCACCTGACTTTTTAAACCATTAACATCTGAAGGCCTCATTAATGTATCCTAGATAAGGAAAAGAACTCTTTGACCCTAAATGCTGAAGATTGGTCTGGCCACATACATCATACAAAAGAGGTACAGATCAATAGGATTATGGTTAAAACCTAGGAGAAGAAAATCCATGACTAGAAAATGTTACATACAACATAAAGGTATTATTCATCACAAGCACAAGTTCTTAGTTCTTATTTCTCCTCTTACATTAATAAAATATTACCTGTAGATTATAGGAGTGGCATGGTAAAACCATAATAGAATATATACTTAGGTGAGAGAAATTTCCAGTTTCTCAAACATCAACAAAAGAACTTTTATACATAATGGAAATGAGTAGCAAATGTCTATAGATATGTAGTCCCAAGAAGATGTGGTAATTTTCTTTCATCCATGGTATAAGCCAGAGCAAGTTACCATAATTTATCACAAGCGTGCTGTAATTTCTTTAAACCAGGCTGAGATCAAGCTTCATTTAAAAATGGTTACATTTTATAAGGCTCTGTTTTATCTACCAGATGCACTGTGCTAAGCCTGGGTGTTTCCTCACAGTATATAACATGTGATAAGGCACACAAAAATGCAAAATAAGTATTTGTTGACTGATCAGTTTTGTTTTACAGCTAGATCATTTAATCTTTTAAAGTAGTTATGTTGTTTTCTTGATTCCTAGGGTGTTAAAGTACAATCAATCAATTGTAATTATTTAATCTTAATTCTTAAATTTGTTATTTTAAAAAGATGAATTTCACCCATCAGGGGCACAGATACTGCAGTGTTAAGCACTTCTTTGTTACTGCTTTTGTTTTGTTTTAGAAAATAGAGTGTGTTCTACCTCTTCCTAAGTCATGAAAATACTCTGGAGAATAATATTAGTTAATATCTTAGTTTCTCCTTCATGGATTATAAAGAAAACTAGAGGTTAAGAAAACTTTCTAAAACAGATTACTTGCTCACAATCATCAAAATAAAGAAAAGCCAAATAGCAACAGCAATGAAAGTCATGTCTTGGTTACAAAGAATCCCAAAGGGCACAGTCATGTTCTCAGGCACTGATGGTACAACATGACTTATTGAGAGGTGGGAACAGAAAAACAGGAAAGAGGTACACTCTGGTGGATCTTATTGCTAACTGACGTTTTCTCCAAAAAACAGAGGTACACATTGTTGATATGTAAATTATTCTGCAAAAGATAGCTTGAGGAAAACAAGCACAAGCACTAAGAATATATGTTTTTATTTAGAAAGAGAGAAATCTTTGATGTCAAAATTTACATTATATTTATGCACATATTTAAAAATTATTATCTCTATTTGTTAGATGCAAGTTACTCTCACATACTTAGACTGAATTAACCTACAACATGGGCTCATACCAAAAAAAGAATACTGTGATCAGAGCAATGGTTTCTTGCGTTGACTACAAATGGCTCAGGTTTAAGAAAAATTGTATGTAAAGCTCATCCAACATACCTATAGTGTCTATCAGAACTAAAAAGACGAGTGAGCTGGGTTGGCAGTGTTGGAGTAAAGCTGATGGACCCAGCCTCGGTTTATAGAATGTTAGTGATGGTCTCATCTATCTTCTGTATTCTGCAGCCAGGAAAACTGAATCTTCACCCTTGGGAATTAGGTTTCTTAAGGTCACAGCAAATATTGGCTCTGAGTCTCATGAGGGTGGCCACAAGGTCTAAGTTGCTCTCATTTATTCCATCACCACCCCATAGGACTGTGCCTGGTACGTGGCAGGTGTTGTACAAATATTTCACGTGGGCCAATGAATGGAAAACTGAGTAGGTGAATAAGTGAACGAATGAGGGAGACAAAAACGGAGTTTGGCTAGACAATAGTGGCAGGACCAGACCCTTGACAGCATCTGGGCGATTAGGGTGACAACTTGTTGTTATCAAGCATCCCTTAGCCATGTTCTAGTTTGAGTGATGTTGGCTAAAGAGGCAATGCCAGGTGCCTATAGAAGCTGATATACTGTGGCACATTTTGAATTAATTTTAATTCTTTTTCATCTTTTAATTTATCAGTGGTATTGCTTATTCAGTAGAGTTGCAACTCATTGAGGAGGCTTTGTCAACTCCACAGGGCACATAACTTACTGAACTGCTCTACACATGGCACTGCTCACATCTACATTATGTCTTTGGGAAATGATGATGTCCAGAGACCCTTGTTTCTACCCCACCCCCACGATCGGAGCACTCAAGAATAGACACCTGGAGCGATAATAGTGTTCACTCTCGAGGCAGTTTTCAGAAATGAAGAGGAACAGGACAGGATAAAAGTGAGAGGGTAGAGGCTGTGAACATTTAAACTGCTTGATGAAAGGAGAAAAGCTGTTAGACTTGTTATAATTGGAACAGCATATGTAGGCCTCGAAGGAATATTCAGGCAATTGGAAAATACCTTTTCAGGTACAGGGCGAAGGATGAAGTCAGCAGCAGGTGTTGGTGTGTAAACAAGTCAAATTTAGGTGAAAGAAGAGCAGGCATGTTTCATTATGGATTCGTGGAAGCTGTTCTCTGCAGATTTAAGTGGGTAATTGAGAGTGACATTTAAAGTGGCAGGAGACAGTCAGGGCAAAACTTCCGTGTTCCAAATAGTCAGGTTCAAGTGCAAGAGAGGTCTTTGTAAACAGAGTTTATGGCAGTCTTTCGTGATAGAAAGGAGGTCACTAAGACTGCTTAGGGACCCAGGTAAACTTCCAGCCTCCCTCCTCATCTCGACAAACAAAGGCTTGTCCCTGGTGGAAGGAGTGAGTTTTCACATTACAGTGAGGGCTCAGGGATGTGGAAAAGGCCATCTCTGTTTTATTGGGTGACACATCAGAAGTATAGTAAGGAGAAGTTTGAAGCCCTCCTGGGGGATTTGAAAGTTGAGAAAGGAAGTGAAAATCTTCCCTGTGCCCAGCAGTGCTATGTGAGGGGGTTGCTGGGTCGCCTCCATAGTCAATTGGCAGATCCTCCCTGGGGACATTTTCATAATCAACTGCATCATCCAGAAATGGAGGAAATGTGCTGGCAATTCTTCTGGGATGAGAGGAGTGGGCACTGTAGTTAGCTGATAAAGTGTCATCGATGGTGTTGAGGTCTTTTAACCCAAGGGTCTGAAGAACCCAAGGGTCCACAGGGGGCCCAGGTTGTCCTTCACAGTTAGCAAATTCACTAGAGAGGTTTCTCTTGGCATTTTTGTGGTGGGGGATCTCAGGAGGAAAGTATCTTTGCTCTTTGGGTTTCCTCTTTCCCTTTCTGAATTGTCCAAATGCTTTGGAGAACTCATCTGATGACAGCAATTTCTAAGGAAGTAGTATTTGGAAAATATACAGTCAGATAGTCAACCAAGATAATTTCTTTACTGTTATCTAATTAAACCTCCTTCACATATTTACTAATCATCTTAATTCCTTAAAAACATGATTAAAATTCTATTCTCTCACACATACACTAAGTAAAAGTAATTGGAGTCATTTCTGTCTCTAAATTAAAATATATAGTGACAAGTAACTACCTGGAAACCACAATTCATGTTTTTTACTAATCATTTAAAAGTTGAAAGAAATGAATAATATCTTTAAATTTTCAATTCATGGAAATAATTATCGTTATAATAACGACAATAACAGTAACTATCATGTATTGAACGCTGATTACACGCATATTCATCTCATTTTATAAAATCCACTTTAGTGAAGAAACTGAGGCATGGGCATATTAGAGTCTTACTAAGGATCGTGCAGCCTACATTAAATCTAATCATCTGAATCTAGACAGAGCGGCTGATTGAAACAATATCTAACACTGATTCTTCTTATTCTGCTAACTTTCAGACCACTCTCACATGATATGTGTTATTCCACACTTTGAACAACTGGGGAAAAGAGAAAAAATACTGTCTAATCAATCTCATTTACTAATTTAATTCATGTCCTTTTTTACAAAATGGTGGCTGAAGTTATGAGCCCAAGCTCCTAACTGTGAGATGTGCTCCTTTTCTTAACAAAGCTGACTGGCTTGTAAAGGAATTGTAAAGGAATCAGATATGGTACCCTTTCTTCTCTCAACTGTTATTTCCAGTGAAGGTGGTAAGAAGCTTCATCAATTTAAATAAAATAATATCAAATAATGCAGCTTGTCTAGTGGCAGGGTAAAGACTGATGACAGAGCAATAATGATAACAGAATGGCAAAAAGATAACAAAAATGCAAAACCCAAAAGATAGGAAGAAGACCAGGAAGAGACTATGGACAAACTATTTGTCCTTGAGTTAGAAATAGTCCATTCTAAAAGGATAAGATAAAAAGGTTCACTAAAAGATAATGTAATTGGTGATACATAATTGCCAGTCAAAAGATCTGGGCTCCAGCCCTATTCATAACATTTCAGAGCTGGGAGATTCTTAAAGAATCTTTTAGCCCCTGCATTTACGGATGAAGGTAAGTGAGGCTAAGTGACAGAGAAATGTACTCGAAGTCAAGCAGATAATTAAAAAAACCAAGTGTCTTTCAGATCTGATTCCCACTCCAGTGTTCCATCCATTTAACTCTGTCTTTTGATTAACCTCTTCTGTCTTAGCAATTCCCTGGACTGGCTTACGATTCTTAAGCAACTCTTTTGGTAATATATGGCTAAAATATGCAGTCCGGATTCTTCCAAGAAATAATACATAAAAATTCTTGAGGAAGTGCTATATTTCTTTCAGAAAAATCCATCTAGCCTATGAATGCCTTTGAAGCCGTGTTGTTCAATACACCTCCTACACTTAATCAAGCAGTGTTAGCCAAATGATCTCCATTCTCAAATCACTGCTCTGCTCTTACAAAGGGGGTAGTTACATACCTTGGCCTTGTCCTCAAGACATTTAACCAAAGCAGAATTCAGGTATTGTCTGAGATGATTATTCTCTTCATGTAACCTAGCAAGTTCTTCTTCCTTCTGCACCAGAGTATCTTGGAGCTGCAAAAAGCATACAATGGTGAAGGCCCCTCCACTATATTGACTTTGTAACCTTATAATAATGCCACTGATCCTTAACCTGCTTAAACTTGATTATTATTCTATTTGTTTTATGAACCAAACCTCAGGGAGCCCTTGTCCTCTAAGGCCTAAATTCAATCTACACCCACCTACCACCCCATTGTTCAGTTTTGTGCTCTGAACTTTTTACTCATTGCAAAGTATTTGAAGAGATTATATGACTTTTAAGATTGCAACCACAAGGGGATCGGGAAGGTCTGTAGGAAAATGAGCTGTGTGCAACTGTTTAAATATAGAAAAATGTGTTTAGAAAGGTTTCGCTGGACTCTTTCCTTGAATGTTAAGAAAAGAAGAAAAACAAGGAGGGGGTTTGCTTCCCTCATCTTCAGATTGATCTGTTTGTATATCCACTAGATTAAATTACTCTCTCAGGAACAACAACAAATAAAACATGGAAATGAAACATTCTTTGCAAAAACTTAATAATCATCATCACTTCTCCAAGTGATGGCCTATGTTTATGGATTAAAAATACAATCACACGGGGCGCCTGGGTGGCTCAGTGGGTTAAAGCCTCTGCCTTCGACTCAGGTCAGATCCTGGGATCCAGCCCTGCATAGGGCTCTCTGCTCAGCGGGGAGCCTGCTTCCTCCTCCTCTCTCTCTCTGCCTGCCTCTCTGCCGACTGTGATCTCTGTCTGTCAAATAAATAAATAAAATCTTAAAAAAATACAGTCACACTCAGTATATCATTTGGTCTTTGCAACAGCCCTCTCAGGAAGGCAGCATAAATCTTTCAATGTCCTAGGTAAGGTAAAAGAGGATTCAAGAGGTCATATAATTACAATGTGTGAAGTCAGGGCCTGACTGTAGGTCCTCCTACAGGGTTTTGGAGGTTGTTGTTGACTTTGTCGTTGTTGTTTTTCCCTGTGACACTGATCATCTATCTTCATGTCCATCCTCTGGACATATATCCACTTTGGCTCTAAGCTGAAAGTCAATATATGAATTTAACAAGGGAAAAGAAGCAAGGTGACATCAAGGGACGATGTTAAGAATAAACTGCATGCAAAGTGAAACAAGTCAGCCTGAGAACGACAAATGCCATATGATTTCACTCATATGTGGAACAAGCAAAAAAACAAACAAAAAGCAGAATCAGACTTATAAATATAGAGAACAAACTGATGGCTGCCTGAGGGAAGGGGGTGGGTGGACGGACCAAATGGGTGAAGAGTAGGGACAGATATGGGCTTCTAGCTATGGAATGAGTAAGTCATGGGAATAAAAGGCACAGCACGGAGAATACAGTTAACATTATTATCGTAGTGTTGTATGGTGACAGATGGTAGCTACGCTTGTGGTGAGGATAATGTATAGAGAAGCCAAATCACTATGTTATACACCCGAAACTAACATAACATTGAGAGTCTGTTAGACTCAAAAAAAAAAAAGTGAGAAAAAAAAAAAAAAACTACATGGAACATGTCAGTCCAGTCTCAGTATTCTGACGAGCTACACATACCTGCTTGTTTCTGTAGAGCTGAGAGGAAAGCTGAGCTTCTTCCCATGAACAAGAGTTAGGAGCAGAGAAACTGGAGTCACAGGATGATTCTTCGTGAAAATACCAAATGGATAAGTGAGAAAACTCCCTTGCAGTTTTTGTGTAATACAGAGCTCATTGAAGGATTTCAGACATTTTAATACATTCAATTACCTTTCTAAAAATAGCTATAGCCTCCACACAGGAAACAACATATTTAAAGCCTTTTAGAAGGGATAACCATGCTGTGAAAGACAAATATTTATAGACTACATGCCCAAATGGCTAAAAGGGTGAATTTTTAGGAGCTAAGAGGTCCATATTTCTTCTTAATATATAAATTTCCACTGGCTAAATTTATAAAAACCATCCCATCTGTACTATGAATTCACTCAGAAATTTACTGATCCTTCCCTGACTCTGCATAACATTGCAATTCCACTATGTTTTCCAAGTTTCTATCTTACTTTCTAAGGTTTCGTGCTTGATAACACAGTGTTTGGCTCTAGAATCAAATGCTATTCTTGATGCTACTATTTCTCCCCAGATGAAAATCTCTGCCTATTTGCATGCCAGTTAAAGCTGATGGAGAGTACTCAGAATTATGAGTAGTAGCATTTCCTACTTTAAAGTAATTTGGATCTTGCTTCTCTGAAGACCTTGATGAAAATCTCCAAACTGTACCCTGAACTCAGTGTAGGAAGTTGTGGCACTTCCTACTTTAAAATAATTTGGATCTTGCTTCTCTGAAGACCTTGATGAAAATCTCCAAACTATACCATGAACTGTCTTTTATGCTTTTGTGGAGTTTTGTTTTTTTTTCCCATATTTGATAGCAAACTATGAGTAAAAATTATGTTTGGGCATGCTATACTGGTTTATTTTTATTTTATTTTCCTCATCTAGTACAGTCTGACTCTTCCCCATCTCTACTGAAACTGACATATTACTGAAATACTTTTACTGAATTAGAATGATGAGTAGGGAGACAGGAATCAAATTTTATACAGTTTGGTTTCATATTCTTGGGCATTCTGTCTTCTTTGTTGCTTGTGGCAGAAAACTAAAGTTGAACAACTCCCTTCCTGACATATATGTGTTTCAATATTTTGGGGCTTTTTGTTTGTTTTTTGCTCAAATTCACATGCACACAAAATAATGTGGCCGAACCAGGAGTTCAGATACTTAATTCTGAAATGTCTACAGTTTTTCTAGAAACCGAGTGTTAATATATAAATTCCTTTAATATTTATAAATACTGCTTACTAAGCCCCAGGTGATAATTAATATACAATTTTCATCACAAAGTTATCTCTCCTTCCAAAGCTGACATCTTCTTTGAGCAAAAGGAATCATTTTTTTTTTTCCTTTTACAGGATGCTCTTCATAGAATTTCCTTAGGAAATAAAAGAGTAAGTTATTAGTTTTCCTTGTTTCCCTCTTAAACTCAGGGGGACTTTCCTGAATTCCAAAAGAAATGCTCCAACTGGTATCTGACTCCAAAAGCATCTTACAGTATTTGTTTATAAAACTTTGACCCAACCCTAAATCCCTTAGTGGGTTGGAAGTCTCTAGGAACTGTTAAGTGTGGGGAAAAATTCATATTGTCCAGTGGACAAGGACAAGATTCCCATTTTCACTATCTGGCAAGTATAGAAAAGCAGCTTATTTAGCTGTGAAATTCAGGAATCTTTGAGCTTTCTTCAACTTCCCATAGCATCTCTTCTTCTACAGGGTTCTGGCCCATGATGCTTTGCAACTATGGGTGCTGAAAAAGGGCTTCAGACCTACCAGGAAAGCAGACGAGCAGAACTTACCCAGTGCCTGTGGTGCTTGTTGGGGCTCTCTGTTGTCCAGGAGACCAGCAGCCCAGAAAGAGACCCAAGTCTCCGTGGAAACGTCAACACTAGATTCTGACGTTGTAGTGGAATACGGGCAATTATAACTCTGACCTCCTACAAAGTACTGGTCTTGGCAAGGCAGAACAGTGTTCTGTGAAAGTCAGTAGGAAGGATCGGAGCAGGGGTGGGGAGGGTCCCAGGAGATGGGGTGATTGGGATTTGGAGGAGAATAAGGATGGAAGAAAGAGACACAAATTATATGCAATGAATCAAAAAACAGTACAGGTGTTAAGCACAGATTCCAGATTAATTCAAGCGGTCAAAATACATAATGACTAAAAGGGAATCAGCCTCTTGGTTTACCCAGTATTTTCCCGAGGACCTCTCAGCAAAAAAACAGGTTAGTATTGGATGGACCAAATTTGTAAATATCCAGGAGTATTTTCTGTTTCCATGACTGAGTCTTCTTAGAGGCTATCCAGGATCTATGTAAAAGGAATTCTACTTACTGATTGAAAGACCTAAGAACTATTTGGCTCTTTCTAACAAATAACTTAATTATATTTCTAATAACCTTGAAAGACACAGAGCCCAGAATGCTAAGGCTGAAATGGACTGAATATAACATATAAGGAAATCTCCTTATTTTAGCTTCTTAGTTTCTCAATTATAAACTTACCCCATTTCTTCCTTCCTCCTTCCTCTGGCTTTAAATGCTGCTGGATCCTATGGTGCTCCAAATGGTTTGAAATGGACGTATTGACATATAGATACATTCCAGAGATAACTAAATACATTTGCTCCTCCAAACACAAGCACATATAGTCACTCCAAGTAAACATACCATCAGAGCTGAAATATGTTAGTCAGCCGAGACAGCAAGCTCTAGCTCTCTCCAGCACCAGGTCTCTATGCCCTTGCAAAGTTATCTTGCCACTACTAACTGCCTGGCATCTATTCTGCACTGTGTTCTGAGCCAGTGAACACCCTCCTGCCCCCGACTCCTCAAACTTCAAACACACACTCTTTCCAAATATCCAAGCAGGGGCAGATATGCAGCCTTCCTGGGTTAATTTGTACAACAGGCCATTCTTAATTATTTGTCAATGTTTAATCAGGTAAAAAGCCATTCATTTCAGCAGAGCTCAGCTTTGGACAAACTCCTTTTTGACCACTACAAGTCTTTTGTTGACTTGAGGACTTTCTTGGGCATAACATAAACAGAGAGAAAATAAATAATAAGGAGAGAGAGACACACGGAGAAAAGTTAATTAAGTCACAATTTGTTAATATTCCCAGTAAGCTAAGTCTTGAAAAAGTCCAGTCTTGAAGCAAGTCCAGCTTGGGCAGTGCAGACCAAAGAAATTCAGCCCAAAGTTTATCAAGGACTATTTTCTTTTATTCTAAAAGCATGTTTGTAAGCTCTTTCCCTGAGGTTATTATTGAAATCAAAGCTGAACTATTATGCAATTGACACCTGAGAAGAAAACAAATCTCAAACACCCCTAGACTAACTCAAATCCAAATGTTTGCAAATACGCGTCTAATCTAGAGGAAACAGGTGGAAAGAAAAGTGAGTGCAGGTATAGAGGGAAAGAAAGTTGGGAGAAAGTACAGAAAGTAGAAATAACACAGTGGGTAAAAAGATGAGAAAGATGGGGAATGAGAGAGAAGATAGGGGGAAAATAAGCAGATGGCGTAGCAGAGAAGACCCCTTTTAATGGGCAAGGTAGCCCAGAAATCTTGCATCCAAGGCGGAAGAAATTCTAAATGCAGAGTTTACTAGCTCTCAGAGCCCCCAGGTTTCCCCAGCGCATTACCTAAACGCTGGCTCCTCACTTACCATCTTGTAGTGGAAGAAGGCGCTGCAGAAACTGAGCCTTCAATTTTTCGGAAAGCCCTGGGAGCTTTAAATGGGACTGAGGGGAGGAGCTAGGAGAGGCGAGTTCTAATCTGCGGGAACTCCCAGTGACGCCAGGGACTCCCGGCGAGCACCGCCCTCTGATTTGGTGCGAGGCTGTCAAACTGGTGACGTGGGTCAGCAGACCTGAAGCCAAAGTCACCGGCACTCACGGCGACGGCCGCGCGGGGACCTTGAGACCTGTGAGACCTGCCGTGGCGCTCAGCGTCCCGGTGCGCCGCGCGGCTTCAAAACCCGCGCGGTGCCCGCTCCCTGCCTGCTCTCTGCCCGCGGTCGGCGGGGAGTTGGGGTGGGCGGGGACCGCGCCGCCGGCGGGACTGGGCGAACCCGGCTCCCCGAGCGGGGCGGGGTGGACTGTCCACTCTGTGGCCCGGGCATCAGGGTCAGAGAAAGCCTAGAGCAGGGTCTCGGGGATCAGAGCAGCACTCGGGGAGCAGGTGCAGCAGCCCCTAGACATAATACTGCTCCTGTGTTTTTCCTGGCCACGTGATCAATACCAATTTACTGAATGACATTGTGAATTGATTGGCTTTTTTTCTACTATTTGATGGATCTCCTTCCCCCAACTCCTGATGTGGGTGTGAAATGTGAAGATGATCTATATCCATTCTAGAATGAAAGTTCAGGGGGAATAGCCGTTCCTGTCCATTTTGTTCAATGTTGTCTCCTAGATGCCTGGAACAATTCCTAACCGGTCATGGGTGCTCAATAAAGAATTAATTAAGCTACAAATTTAAGAACCTAAAGTGTCTGTCTCTGTGTTTGGTCCTATCTTTACAACTACGATTATATAGAATAAGTTACTAGAATTAAGAAAAATACTTTTCAGAGTATTTGGTTCTCCCCATCTTTCCTCTTGCATTTTATTCTCACGATTCCTATGAGGTTATAATCCACAGGAGATAAAGGAGTAATGCCATTTTTAAAACCATCCATCTACTACTAATAGCCAACTTTTATGTCAACTGGCAATAACCTAGGGAGCAGGTGTGCTTATTGTCTCTGTTTCAGTGATGAAGCACTGAAGTTAAGAAACTTTTGACCATTGATTACACAATTAGCAAGCAGCAGACTCTGGGTCTGAACCTCTGGCCTAGCATCCATGCTCCTAGCTATCACAATTCTGTTTTATTTTTTTTTCTCACTGCACGTTATAGCCATTTCTGTAATGGGCATTTGTAAGGACTGAATTGTGTTACCTCAGGATTTGTATGTTGAGTCGCCAACCCTGAAGGTGACTGTATTTGGAGGTTGGGCCTCTAAGAAGAGAATCAGGGTTAAGAGATCATAAGGCTGGTGCCCTAATCTGGTAAGACTGGGACTTATAAGGAGAGGAAGAGACACAGGAGATGGCGTGCCTAGAGAAAAGGCCATGTGAGAACAAGGCCGGAAGGTGGCCATTTACCAGTCAAGGAGAGAGGCCTCATCAGAAACTGATAACCCGGCAACACGTTGGTCTTACACTTCCAGCCTCCGGAAATGTGAGAAAATGTTTAAGCCATCTCATCTTTGGTTCTGGAAGCCCTAGCAAACCAATCCGGGCATGGTGTAAGGATTAAGAAAACTTCAGAATCTGGCTTGCATAGTCCTCTCTCTAAACCAGTTTTGACCTGTATTCATTTTGCACTGGATTTTACTCATCATCCAAAACACTTAGCGATGGCTAACACAGCGAATGCTCCTGAAGTGTTCTGTCTCTGACATTAAGGAGGGAATAGAAGAGGAAGAGGAGGAAGGCACCAGACTTGGTCGGCACCATTTCTCCTGTCCCATACTATTTGTTCACAAACATTTCTAAGTGAATAATACAAACTTTGGGGATCACTGCCTGGAAGACTCATGGGTCTTACACAGGGTTAAACGACATGATTCATTTCAGTGAGTGACCACTCTCATGGCACAAGGGGTGGGGATACCCTGGCACTATGACCCTGAGATGATGGGGGAAACAGATCAAAACCTGTTTCGGTTATGATAATTGATGATCTTGTTCAGGGCAAAGAAAATCCTAATCACTTTTCTGATAAGAGCCAGGGAAAGAAAAAGGAGGATTGAGTTGTTTTGTTTTTGGAAACTCATAAATTAGGTATGTGAACCTCTGGACAATATGATTTCTTGACTCTAAAAATGACGCAAAAGGGAAAATTGAATAAATGCGGCATGAAACAAAAGGGCATAGGCTTTAGGTACAGATGTAACTGCGGTCTGATTCTTGTTCTACTCTCTGAGCCTGAAACACCTGGGGCTATATTACATGGTCTCTAAATTCTCAGCTCCCATGGTAAATTAAGAAAGAAATATGTACCTGAGAAGCTTATTAAAAAGCTGACCACTGGGCGCCTGGGTGGCTCAGTGGGTTAAGCCTCTGCCTTCAGCTCAGGTCATGATCTCAGGGTCCTGGGATCGAGCCCCACATCTGGCTCTCCGCTCGGCAGGGAGCCTGCTTCCTCCTCTCTCTCTCTCTCTGCCTGCCTCTCTGCCTACTTGTGAGCTCTCTCTGTCAAATAAATAAAAAATAAAATCTTTAAAAAAAAAAGAGAGAGAGCTGACCACTGTCGCCTTGAAAACTCCAAATTCACAGCCCAAGTCACAAAGAGCAGCTATTATTATGTATGTAGAGGACTCTTCGAGCAAATATGCTGCTGTGTCTTGCCTGTTAAAAATAACTGAAAATAAAAGCTACATTTATTAAACAGACTTTTTGAGGGCTAGACATATTTTTTAAAAAGTCTTTGATGGATTTTTAGCACAGAGACATGTCATAAATCATTAGCTGCTTTAGCTTAGTAGAAGTGGGAGTGTATATGGTATTAGTGGATCCCTAAAGTTAAGCCACAAAGAGCTATTGGTAACTGGACATAAGTCACAAGATAAAGCTTACCTGAAATCATAAACTGATGGAAAATTTTCCAAATCCTTAAGGTCTGATTTAAGCATATCGTTTTATTTAAGATGTACTGCTTGGGGGAGTGACTTGGGGGTCTCAGTTGCAGGAGACCCACCTCAGGCTCCCTGTTCAGTGGGGAGCTTGCTTCTCCCTCTCCCTCTCCTTCTGTCCCTCCCCCCACACATCATATACTTTCTCTCTCTCTCAAATAAATAAATAAAATCTTAAAAAAAAAAAGATCTACTGCTTGGGTATAAGCATTATTTTTTGTTTGTTCGTTTGAAGTTTTGTTTTTTTGTTTTTTGTTTTTTTTAATGTGGCAAGTAAGAATAATGTGAAATCCTTTGGCCATTTCTTAATTCATATTTTTGAAAGAAAGAGGTACAACTTCTTTGGTGATTATTTTTTCTCCTATAGACATTAAGATCAGTAAAAACTGTCTTTTGTATTGTGGCTGAAGAGACGGTGTTGAAAGAGAGGTAGCTAATAACAGTCCAATTGTTGAACTGGGGTACTACCTCCTGCCAGGACGAAAAAATAATAAAATAAAAGGTAATTTGACCTGCACACAAACCAAGTCTGCAGACAGGAAAGGGTAGTGTGTGATCAGTGGTGGGCCAAGGAAATAAACAGATTGGCATATGGAATGTTCTTTTATTTCACCCCTGGAGGACACTTTATTTGATTACCTCGTTAGTGAATTCAGTAGCATATATAATAAAAGAACAAGATAGAAATTCTCTTTACAAACATGGCCTCTTCCTACGGCTTCAACAGCTGAATCTCCAGGCAATAAAAAGATTGTATTTCTGCTTTCATATATAAGGAAAGAAAAGCCGAACCCTTAGAGAAAATTCAGTTCGGTAGATGATTTACATTGGGAGACTTAGCCTTTGCATATTTTATTTTAGCAAGTCTGGAGAACCATGACGTATTTAGTTCGTTGAGGCATAGTTTTGAGTTTCACCCTTCCAGAATAATGTGTGGAAATCAATCATGCTGATATGGGTAGAGTCTTGACTATTCTCTACCACCCACATGTCAGCAGAGCTTCTAGTAACCACACATATACAATAACATGCCATGGTAAATCTGTTCCTATCTGAACAAAGATATTTATACAAAAGAAAGTTAACTGTTAATTCTGGCAACAGAAAAGGAAAAAGAACTAGTTTGAGAAAATTATATCATGTTATTAGCCAGAAAAGAGAAGGACCTTGGACAAATTAAAGAGAAAGATGTTTAATTAGGGCCTGGGAAGATTTGTGCAGTTTGAAGCTAAGTGTGTGTGTGTGTGTGTGTGTGTGTGTGTGTGTGTGTGTGTGTGGTGGGGGAAGGGAGCAAGAAGATAAAGATTTATGATATCACTTTATTGGGTGTTCCAGCCAGAATTTATTTCAATAGCTTTATAAACAGTTTTAAACCTTATTTTTTGACTCATTAAGTGATTGCTTAATTTTTCAGTTGTACTTTGTTGTATTATGTTAAGACAGACCATACACTATAATTATATTCACAGATTTGAAGATTCTCAAGTCTAAGGGTATATCTTTCAAATATTATGCCATATTTGAGGGATAACTAGCAAAGGAATAAAGATCTGTATTCATTGTAGAAAGTGAGGCAAGCCTTCCCTGCACTCTGTAACATTGTTTTCTGTCTTTTCTCTTAAAATGACACTCGGAAGTAGTATTTGTGGGCATGCTGGAATAAATAGCTGAGGCTTATCCCAATGGGCTTGGGGCTTTCCGTTTCTTCTAGATGCTGTCAGGCCACCCGGAGGATGGGGCTTTAACTCATCATGCCTTGGTGCACTGGTAGGGAATCTGCTCTGTGATAATCTATCTGACCAAACTGTAATAAAATAATTTCAACACTACTATAAAAATACATACAAAACAGAGAAATTAATCTTCCTATACCACAAAGGTTGGAGATGTGGAACCCCAAACAAACAAACCAAAAATCAAATATAACTCTACCCCTCATTAGTCCAACTACATTAGAAAAAATGAAAATAATGACTTATTATATCAGAGGTATGTTTATCTGGCCGTGATTTAAAATATAAGAAATTTTTTATGTACCTGGGTGGCTGAGTCATTTGAGTCTCCAACTCTTGGTTTTGGCTCAGGTCATGATCTCAGGTCTAGATCAGCCCAGAGTCTGCTTGACGTTCTTTCTCCCTCTGCTCTCCTCCCTATGTTCATGCTGTCTCTCTCTATCACATAAATAAATCTTAAAAAAATGAAAAAGGAATTTCTGTTTCAGGAACACTAGTATTTTCATAAACTGGGCTTCACTGCCTTTATTGATCCTGAAATCCCTGTCAAGGATTTTGATCTAGTGGTTGGTGGATGGATTGCTAATGAAGCATTAAAAACCAGAAAGGTGAACTGGCAGTGACAATGATATCCAATTTTACCTGGAAGATAATAGAAATAAGGATGTCACTTCAAAAAGCTTGGTTCAGAATGTAACAGCAAAACAGAACAGCTGGGACTGGATGCCTTCTAGCCCTGGAATTATCAGAGAATCTGCAATAATGTGACTCCTTTCATGAACGGAAGACAAAGAAATATATTTAGATACAAAATGTTAAGCTACAGTTAATTTAAAATTCCATATTTTTGAAATCCATAATCTATAAAATGTTAATTGGTTTCTTATTAATCCAATAATTTGTGGCAAAAATCACATTCTTTGTAGTCAAATCAAAGAAACTTGAAGTTTGTAATAATAAATTTGGGTGTTTCTAACCCAACTCTATTTTGCATATTTCTTTTTTTTTTTAAGATTACATTTTTTACTGACAGAGATCACAAGTAGGGAGAGAGGCAGGCAGGGGGCGGGGTGGGGGGGCAGCAGGCTCCCTGCTGAGCAGAGAGCCGGATGTGGGGCTCGATCCCAGGACCCTGAGATCATGACCTCAGCAAAACGCAGAGGCTTAACCCACTGAGCCACTCAGGCACCCCAGCATATTTCTTTTTCACAACATGAAAGCATAACGCCAACCTCTAGTGGGTGGAAGCATTTATACATTCAAAAAAGATCTGAGACAATGCCAAGAATTGTAATTGGTATGAAATTAATAATGCCAAATGCCATTAGAATGAATATAGAGAAGGATTTGAATATAAATAAAGCACCACACCAGCAATAAAGTAAAACTCCAAAATCCTTAGAGGGCAATGGTGAACACAGTTTTTGCTTCCTCCAATCAGAAGCCTTTCTGACTGCCACCTCTGGAATAACAGGGTTAGAACTGCATGACCAAATCATAGCCAATCTTAAACATACAAACAAATTTTAATAGCTTCATTTGTAGGAGAAAGGATACCAAAAAATAAGAAAGCAAATTGACTAAGCTCTTGAAAAAAATAGTTTATTGTCCTAGCACACACTTAGTAAAAACTCAAGTTGCATAACGTAGAAGTTTCATCTTAAAAAATCTTTGTTAGCAATTATTCTTTGCATATTCTTTAGTCTCTGTCTAGAAGTGTATACATATACATGTTTTTATATTTTCGTACATACTCATGCATGTTTCTGGAGAAATCTATGAGGCCCACTGCTTTGAAATACTTACAAATGTCAGTGTAAAGATGTTGGGAAACAAAGACTCATTCTCTACTCCTGGCTTTTTTATAAAGGGTCAATGATTCCCATGAAAACAGATTTATTTGATTGATGAAATTGGAAGAAGAAAAGAAAATGTGTGTTCCACAGTGATGTCAACACCCACAGCATCTTCCCCTGAAGGAAGCTTTCAAGGAAAGCTCTCTCCCAGTTAGATAGCATCACCTGTGTGTGGCTGGCCAGTGTCACCTGTGATAGGGCAATTAATCTGTATTATTCAGACATGCATATTAGGAAGCCTACTAAAACTACAGATGTAAGTCATGTTTGACAAGCAAACTTTTTTAAGTGTTAAAAGGAACATTCATTTCTATGTGCCTGTGTTTTGTGTCTGTTGCTTATTTTTTTCTTAACATAGTACAGAAAGAAAGGAGTGTAATTATATGTAAAGAAATATATGAAGAAATAATTGTATGGTATGTAATAAAACATAAGTAATCAGGAGGAAAAAATATAAATGGAATTCAGCCATATGCAAATATATTCTAAGAGCTTTAGAATATCCATATATTTTATCAGCAAGCACAGAAAAATTTTATAAAAGCAATAAATCTAACAGAAATCATGTACAACTTTATCATATCAGTATAAAAAACACTTGTAAAAACTTTCTAAACATCCAATAATAAGAAACTCTTTCATTAAATTGCAGTATGTCTATATCATGGATTGCATATTCATAGAAAATGTTTTTGGAAAAAGTTAAAGACATGGATCAGCAATATTATATTAAATGTATTAAAAGGTATACAAGTATATTTATATAAATGAAATACACAAAAGAAAATATACTAACATATTAATGATGTTTGTGGTTTTGTAAGGGAAGTGTGATTATGATTCTATTTGCACCTTCCTGCATATTCCTGAAATTTTACAGGAAACATGTTTTGCTTTCATAATCAGAAAAAAGTTATCCAAATACACATGAAATCATACAGATGATTATTAGTGGTATATTTTTTGTGGGATAACATCACATTTAAAATTGAAACAACCTGAACAGTAGTGATAATGTCTGTGTATATATTACCTAAAACAAGAATTCCATGTTTCTACTTCTACCCAAATTTGCAGTGTGAGAAATGCTTTATTTTCTTCTTCCCCCAAAACTCAAAACTGTTTTAAAAATTGTAGAACTCTACAGAAGGAAGAAGAAAATATAACAAAATAACTGCTTTATTTAAATACTGCATTGTTCCAAAACACCAGAATCAACAAAGAATTAGTGGGGCTTTGACACCAAGATAAAAATACAATAAAATACAAGAAGGATTTGGTCCATTTTTTCACATATAGAAGAAAAAATTAACTAGATGTGATTATAATCTTCAAAAGAAAATGTAGTGAAAGATTAAAAAGAAGCAGTGCCAATAGGTAGAATTAACGAGTTGCCAGATACTAGTTTAAA